GTGATTTCTTATGAAGCTTATTTTTACTCTCACCTGTAGGTTACTGGGGTCCTTGTAGTTCTCATCAGAGGCGATCTGTAGCTTCTCTTGGATCCATTTCTCAAGCTCATCTGCATCTCGACGGAAGAACTGGAACCGGTAAGAGTCCTCGAGTTTCTGTCTGCGCACAACGGACAGCTCCTTGAAGCGATGGTACCGGTCAAGAACCTGCTGACGGCGCTCCTGGATGTCCTCAGCTGACTCCAGAACTTTAACTCCACTGATATCCATTTTCTAAAAGAGGGAAAAGATAATGGATAAATCTCCAAATGTCCAAGTCCTTCCACATGAACTTGGGCTTAGTAAGCAAAAGCAAAAATGTGAATACACTTTTGAAGAACCTTAGTATGGCTTCCTGATCAGAAAGGAACAAGAGTACAGCAAGAGTGTTACTTGAAAGGAAACAATGGGAACTTCCAGGTAATAGGTAAAAAGGACAAATTCAAGAGTTTATACAGCAACTTTCATGTTTGAACTAAGACAATTGTGCATTGGTGCAAATAAAAAAAAATTAAAAAGACACTACTAAGTCTGTGTGGAACAAACACTCACTCAAGGGAGGTACCTAAAACCAGGCAGACATTTTATGAGTTAAAAGACACAACTCTCCCAAGCAATGGCCAACAGCTGAGCACATGGAGGGCCCGCTTCTGAGTAAACCGTCACGAAGAGAATGCTGCCATCAGCCCCCCGCTGACACTGAACACAACCCCCACCAATCCAAAGCTACATCCACCCAAATCCAATGGCATCTGTCCCATACTGTCAGTGGGGAGGGGGTTGTGTGACTTCAGCTGTATTCGAAGGTGGAGGGGACGAGGTTATGCTTGTGTCCAGAATGAATGAACCAGGGAAAGACGGGTCACACCCAGGCTACAGCAAATGTCTCTAGCTCTTTTTCTACGAATAGTGTGCCGTTTGATGATCTAGAACTGTTCCGTTCGTTCTGGGTCAGAAAATGTGTCACCACATGTCAGAGGTTGGGGGATGGAATAATCTCAACAACAGTTTATTCTGATGTGAAACAAAACTAAATTGCTCTCATTATAATCAACAAAGCTGTTGACAGAAGAAACACTGGAAAATGACTCAAA